CATCCATCCGGTCAGTCCTCCTCTATGGATGTGATTGCTGGGCTGTGCGCGCGCTGAAGATGAGCGAAGACTGGAAGTCTTTAACCACCGATGCCTGAGGACCATCCTGCGAGCTAAGTATAGCGACTTCATCCCGAATGAGACAGTCAGCACCCGCTGTGATCGTATCAGTAGGATGCCTCAAGCCATTCAAGAAAGGCGACTGAGGTGGTTTGGGCACGTTCTCCTTCGTCCGCTCCACAAGCTTTGATATACTGCGTTCGATCCGGCACCGCAGCCCATCTGGAGGCGTCGAAGAGGAAGGCAACTGAAGACTTGGCACGACACCATTCGTCAAGACATCGAAGCAGTGCTTGGACCTTCTATCTTCGGTCTCCATAGCTGGAGAAGAGACCGGGTGGAGCCTTCTGCGTCCACTGCCGCCAATCGTCACATGTGGAGGGGTACCATCCGTTACATCATTGAGGCCGGCTAGATCAAGCATGACCACAGCTGTAACAAGTACAAGTTGTCCTATAACCTTCCAAGCCACAACTACGCATGGCACACGTTAACCGTTGCCCGCTACATCAAGTGGTATGCTGCCCATGTAAGTGAGACTCAGTAAGTAAGACTCAGGAAGCACAGGTGACAGCCGAATGTCCTGGGACAGCGTGGACACATGACACGGAAGCGACGGGTGTACAGCGAGGCTGCTAGCACTGGTTTTCGGTGTCAGCGCAATAAAGTCGTGAGTAACTGACAAGGCCAATTCGTGATTAGAGCGACGGACGGCCAGTAATGATAGGACACTTCGGTTACTGAATTGGTGGCGGCGATAGTGAAGCTATAAGTGCTGGTGTTACGGCGCTCCAAGTGTCCGAAGAAGATTGGTTGAGGGGAAGCTGTGATAAATCACACAGTCGCTTATTTCATACGATCTAAAAGGTCGGGTTGTGTCTGAAGGCATTGGAGCAGGTTGGGGAGGTGATGCTAGCACAGTGAATATGTTGGGGCTTCAGTTACTGGTTTGCCGGTTTCAGAGCGATGGATTCGCAAGTGAATGACTAGGTCAATGGGTGATTCAAATGCGCCGTCACAGCGAAGGCAAGATGTAATTGAGTGCATATAACTCTTAGTAGGGGTAATTATGGCGACGTTTTGCAGGATGCCAGGGATTCTCATAGGTGATGCTAATGGTGATACTAGTGAGAGTGCGTTGTGAGGCAGATTGGTCGAATTGTCATTGCACTGCATCCACAGAGCTCCAAGGAGTTCAGGAATGTTAGTTGACGATGTGGACCAGATAGGAAAATGTGAACAAATTTCGTCATTGATACGTAGCGCTTAACTCTTATGGGTATTTTCCGCTTCGCTGTGGCAGTCGTTATATG